CCACCTCGACGGGCATTACTAGCTGATATAGGTGCAGGGTGGAAAAGAGTAAGTGGTGGCCAAACAAAAAAATGGCCTCATCAATCCATGAAATCCTTGACAGTTAAACTGAGTCAGGTAGGGAGATGCAGACTTCCGGGTTGGGGCCGGCCCTCGGGACTCTAAGAATCAATGACTGGAGACAATAGGTGACATGGCTCAAAATCGTTGTCAATGGCTCACGCAGATGTATTCAGTTTCTGTAATCTTTCATATTCCTTTCTACCATTACTCATTCTGTTTCACTCTTATACTTGTCAAAACTCTATTGATTCTCTTCACTCATCTTCTTGTCTACGTTTGTGAGCTATTCGGAACGTGGCAACTGGAACTGCTGCACTTCGATGCCAAGTTCTATGTTGATTCCAGACAGACAGACAGGTTAGCTGACGGCATCACCTCCGTCTTCCCTATGTTCACTTGAAGTCCTGTCTTTGCTGATTCTTCTGCCAGTTTGTTGGTATATAAATGTATATAAACTCGCTCAACGAAGGAAACTATTAATCTTATTCTACATTCTGCCACAAATTTCCAGTAATTCAAAAGTCAAATTGTACAGAAAAGTAGAAACATTTTACAGACAACAGAAAAGATTTTTTTAATAAGTTGGAAAAACTATTAGGACAAAACTACTTGTGTATTTAACTACTGACGTTTTTCAAAAAGACCAAGAGGCATAAGTAATATCTATTCTTTATTAGGTAGAATAAATTAGATGATGTGTATGCCTGCCGCTCCCATTAGTTTTCTGCAAGAAAAAATATGAAGCTACTTGTTTTTTTACTTTCGCTTACCTAAACATCTGTGCCTTATAACTAAAGATCATCATTAGTGAATGCATAAGACAAATTACGAAATATTTAATATACTACTGATTAATTACAGATACACTTTTCTTACTCGAGTCAAACAAATTAGGCTGAAATATAATCTGCATATTGATTGGGATACTTGGAGCTGAGGGCTCATCAATCTAAGAAGTTGACTACCGACCCCTGACTGGCTGACTGGTTTCAACGTAGAACTTTGCACCGATGTGCAGCAGTTCGAGTCGCTACGCTTCACTTAGCACACAAAGTAAGAGAAGAAAATAGAAGAAATGCATCTGCGCTGTCATTGAGAACGGTTTTGAGCCACATCACCAATTGTCTCCAGCCATTGGTTTTTACCCACCCAAGAACCCCAGCCAGTCAGTCAGCCAGACCACACATCCCTACGTGACTAGCCGGCTAAAACTAACTGTTGTGGATTTCATTGACTGGTACCATGTTTTCGTTTGACCGCCGCTAGCCCTTTTCCAGTCTGACCCTATATCAGCTAACATTGCCCGTCGAGGAAGGTGATGACTAGGCATACGTAACACATTTCCTAACCATCTCAGTCGATGTAACTTCACAGCCTCTTTAATTGATTTCCCCTCCTTATCCAGCACTCGACGCCTAAGCTCAATATTACTCATCTCATTTTACCACTTCACATGGGAGATAAAACGCAGGTACCTGTGATCAAAGAGAGCCAGTCAGGCTTTTCATGTCTTCCACTCTCAATGGCCGGGACCAACCAGTCACTGAGTGAATTACTGGTTTAAACCCTGTTCCACCCAGTGAGGTTTGTTGGTCAGGGAGGGGGTCGGGTGAATCACTTGGCATCGCTCTTCTCGTAGAGAAACGTTAGCTGACTAAGGATTAGGCTGGAGAAGAGTTGATGGGGTGGTCAAATCGTGATGTGACATCAGTCAATGAAGTCTTTGTCTCTTGATTTGAGTCATTTAGGAAGTTGTAAACTGCCTGTTTGTAGCGAGGGGTGGGTCTCGAGACATTAAGAGCCAATGGCTTGGGACTGTTGGTGGTGACATGTAGCTTAAAAGAGTTTTCGATGGTGTAGATGCATATATTCAATATGAACTCCTTGATCCACAACACACTCCCACATTATTCTCCATCTAAGTATTCTTTTTATTTCTTATATATTTCCGTTGATTGTGGTTTTAAGTTTTGAGTATTTTTCCTTTCGTTACTTTTGGGTGTGAGTGGAAAGATTAGCTGTCTTTGATCATAGGTGTCTACGTCCTATCTTCCGTGTGAAGTGGTATAATAGGGTGAGGAATATTGAGGTTAGGCGTCGAGTGCTAGGTAAGGAGGAGGGGAAATCGATCGATGAGACTGTGAAATCACATCGACTGAGATGGTTAGGACATGTGTTACGTATGCCTAGTCATCGCCTTCCTCGACAACAGGCAATGTTAGCTGCTATAGGGTCAAGCTGGAAAAGAGCTAGCGGCGGTCAAACCAAAACATGGCCTCATCAGTCAATGAAATCTACAACAGTTAGTCTAGGCCACGTATGAAAGTGTAGACTTCCTAACTGGTTGGGGTCCTCGGGACGGTAAACACCAATGATGGCTGGAAACAGTTGGTGACATGGCTCAAAATCGTTCTCAGTGACTGGCTCAGATGCATCCACTCCTTGTGACTTATGATTTCCAATTAAAATGTTTTGTTCTCCGTTACTACTATTCCTTTGTCTCACACCTCTGTTTACTGTCTATATTATTATGCATTTCTTCTACTTTCTTCTCTTGCTTTGTGTGTTACGTGGATGGAGTGTGGTGACTTGAACTGCCGCACATATGTGCAAATTTCTATGTCGAAAACAGACAGACAGACTTTTGGGTGTTGTATTTTTGCGTTGCTATTGGGAAATAAGGTTTCAAACTTGATCGTTGACGTTTCACTAGTGATGTTTTTGTTTACGAGGTGAGTTCACTTACTGCACGCTCGAACTTTCCTCTTTACCATGCTTACAATCAATCTACACAAGATTAATCAATGTATCGACCGGGAATCGAATTCGGATTGCATACGTGATTGGTATGGCATTCCACCGTTGAATCACTGATGTTATGTGGAGTGTGGGAATGTGAATTCTTGTATTTGTATACAGACTTCTTATGTTGCAAATTCAATCAGTTAGTCAGTGAGGGGGATTGTTGACTGACGTTCTTTCGTGTTTCTTTATCACTCTACTTTCAACTAATGAGTATGATGGGCTGGCAGGAATCCTTTTTCATCTAATACCACTTCGTTTTGATTAATGTCAAACAGAAGGTATTGCTATGGGATCATCAGTGTCTTCGCTAGCAGCCAATCTGTTCATGGGCTCATTAGAAACAAATGCAATTATGAGTTGTTCTAGTTCTCCAAAAATGTGGTCAACATACGTGGATGATGCCTTCGTCATAACAAGACGCAGCTTGTTGAATTTTTTAAATTTAATAAACAACAATATGTCTGAAACCATCAAGTTTTCCAAAGAGGTTGAACCCGACAAGAATGATTTGGCGTTCCTGGACTGTTTAGTAAAAAGAAAACTTGAAATAAGCAAGTTGAGAAGGCCGACAAATTCTGACAGATACCTAGACAACTATTCAGCACACCCCTTTACCACCAAAGTAACTGTGGCCACGAATCTGATTAACAGAGGCAAACGTCTAGTTACTGAGGGGGAAAAGATCAACAGGGAACTAAAATCGGTTCAATCCATTCTTGGATCAAATAATTATCCCTAAGCGTTCATCAAAAGATGTTTAAAATGAGAAGATAAGGACGGATCGAAATCTGTTGCTAAGAATTGGGTTAGTACAGCTTTGATTCCTTACCTCAAAAAAACATCCCATGAAATAAAGCGAATCCTTAACAATCATGACAACATAAGAGTGCATTTTCGTGCAACTAACACTTTATGCTCATCACTGGTGAAGGTTCTACAGAAAGGTTTTGGTTCGTATAAAGAAAGACTGACTGACCACAGAAGCCCTACATATATGGTTGAATCCCAACAGTTTGAACAGACGTGAATGTGTGATGTTAGTTGATGCGTGCCAAATCCTTATTAATAAATAAAAAAAAATGGATATGTATCACTAATTAATCATACTTGGTCTATGTTCCCGATTGTCCATATCTTCTTATGGAGAGGCTAACAAATGTTTTACAACTGTTTACCCATACACACATGCACACACACACCGTTGTATACTGCATACACACATATATTTTCATATTCAGTTATCTGCTGAAAAAGTACACACTGTTTACAATGTTTAACACAAGTAGACTAATATTTGTCAAATTCTGATCACAGTTCATGCGATTTTGTTTATTACACAGGTTGATGCCTGTTTCATGATTCATATGACTGAAGAAAGTTTTTAAAAACATGGTGTCTTTTTTATATATAAACCTCTATAATGTTAATTTCGATTAATTTCCCTGAAGAAGTTCGGACCAGTTTGCCGAACTCAAGAAACATTGGAATTACTCATTTCAGTTTCTGTGAGATTTTACAAATGTCTACTTCTGACTCGGTGCCCAATTATATTTTGGAACTATTCGGTTAAATCTTGATCACAGTTCATATGAGTCTGTATTTAGTGTTAGGACATGTGTTACGTATGCCAGGCCTTCGCCTTTCTCGACGGACAATGTTAGCTGACGTAGGGTCAGGTTGGAAAAGAACCAGTGAGTGGTGGTCAAACCAAAACATGGACTCATCAGTCAATGAAATCCATAGCAGTAAGTTTAAGCCAGTCAGCCACATAGGGAGGTGCAGACTAACTGACTGGAGACAATTGGTGATATGGCTCAAAATCGTTCTCAATGGCTGACTCATATGCATCCACCCCTTGTGACATATAATCCCCAATAAAACTATATAGTTCTTCGATGTTACTATTCGTTTTGCCTCATATCTTTGTTTACTGTCTCTATTTTGCATATTTTTTATACTTTCTTGTCTTGCTTTGTGTGCTGAGTGAAGCGTGGCGACTCGCACTGCTGCATATCGGTGCAAAGTTCTATGTTGAAACCAATCCAACCCAGTTATTTAGTGTTATTATTATTATTGTGAGGAATTATTGAGTAAGTGTTTCTTCTTCTATTTTATTATTTTTATATATTTAGATAAACAAATTCAACAATTATTCAGTATACGATCAGAATTGGATGCACGTGTTGAAGAATTAGAATCACAGTTAAGAGAAGAACGTAAACGTTCAGAAGCACCAACTCCGCGATATGATTCTAGAAATCGTGTGAATACAGCAAATACAGAAGATATAAAACATGAATTACAACGTGAGTTTCTTTCTTTTCAAGTATTCATTGATTATGTTGAAGTGAAATGCACAGTTGTGTGTGTGAGTGTGTTTGTTGGTTGACATGTCACAGCTCCTATTAGGGACGTCTTCGACAGTGTCCCTTAGGATTAATGCGATACGCGTCTCATCCTATTTTAGTCTCGTCTTCTGGATGGAGTTTGAAATGATGGATGTAGGGTTTGAGTCTCAGTGAGATACCAGATAAACCCACTTGAAGAGTCTCAAGTAGGACGAAATGCACATCCTGGTGAATTCCACTGATGGTTAGTCAATATCAGTCAAAATATATAGATTTATGTATTATTATAGTATTATTGTGTCCTGTGCTACTGATAAGATTTATCAGTAGTATACAATATAAAAAGATGTTCATCTGCATAAAAAAACATCAAATAACAGGGAGATATATTTGGTGCCAGAGAAAGAAAATGATACAGCGTATCAGCGGAGATACATAGGAGACGTGAAAAGAACACAAAGAAACACAATATGAAAGAAGGCGAGAAGTAGCAGACACAACACAGATCTGTGAAAATGGTGCTTCGAAAATATAAGGTGTACATCATTTGGCTATATATAGAGATACCAAATTGCAAATAAGCATTCTTTTACCAAGTCTTTCGTTTTTTACTGTTACAGTACTACCTCGATAGGCCTGTCAGGGTTCGAAGCCGTGATCAAATTGCTCGGAGTCGAATGTCTAGATCAATGAACCATAACAATTAGTGAAAAACAAAACACGCTCGGGTCCACAAGGGTTAAGACAATCAGTTGCTATGAAACAAGTATGCGCTTGTGTCGTTAGCAAGTGCATGAATACGGAAAGTGGTACTTGAGCAACATATGATGAAAGCAAGTGTGTGCGTCGGTGACATAGTGGTTAGGACGCTCGCCGACCATGCACATGGTCCGGGGTTCGATCCCCGCTAAGCCAGAAATAATGCTGGTGAAGAGTAAAGGTTGGGCATCCTGTAAAAACAAACACCACTGCTACAGAAACTTCAGGCCACTAGCTTGAAGCCTTATGTTCCACTGGGGAACGTGAAGGAAAAAAAAGTGTTCGTAGAAAAGGGAAGGGAGGTGGTAAAGTCTCACTGTCTGACTAAAGTACTGGGGATATTAAAAAGCCAATAGCTTGAGACTGTTGGTCATGTGGAGCACAGAAGCATTCACAACTCTTTGTAATCTCTCAAGAGACATTAGTTCTTTGTCCATGTCATCGATCTTTCTTCCGTACATTTCGGTTCATTCCATGTTCTTTTGAATTTCTTTTCTCTAATTTTGTTTGTCGCAAACTTGAGCTGCAATCTGAGAATGTTTTGCAAGCGATTATCTGTTGCCATCAAGTGTAAGATGATGCTACACGACTGGACAACATCGAGTCACTCCTAGATTAGAAATAGAGAGTGAACTAGTAGAGAGTGTTAACCACTTCAATTAATTGGGAAGTTGTATCAGCCAACGCCAGCAGGTTGACCGCTGACCAAATATCAGCACAGATACAGAAGGCTCGTTTGGCATACGCCAAATTACGCTATCTCTGGCTTAACAGACGTGATATCCAACTGGCTGCTGCTCAGCAGTTCGCCTCGTCCTTTCATACAACTCTGGGTGAGACAAGGCCATTGAAGGTGGAAGACATGAAAAGGCTGGCTAGCCGACTTCGATCATAGGTGCCTACCTTCTATCTCCCGTGTGAAGTGGTATAATAGAGTGAGCAATATTGAGGTGATGCATCGGTCAAGTGCTGGGTAAGGAGGGGAAATCAATCGACGAGGTTGTGAAGTTACACAGATTGTGAGATGGTTACTACATCAGTTGTCTATATGCAGAGATACCAAATTGCAGATAAACATTCCCTCACCTAGTCTTTCGTCTTCAACGGTTACATTAGTTAGTAATACTATCTTTTCAAATCTGCCTAGTGATCTTTTTTTCTCCCTTGTTTTCTGCTAATAATTAGTCAAATGTGTCTGGTTTTTGTGTCAGTTTGTGTTAAGCGGATGATTGATGTCTACATAATGATGGGTTAGTTTTGTCTGGTGAGAAAAAAAAGATCCACCTTGCATATATAGATTCTCTTATACCAAATGTTTTTTTTTTAAATTTTATTTTTGAAAGTGTATTTGGTTGTATTTAGTGTTAATTCGCTCTCGCCTTCATAGTGGAAACTATATGCGGCTGCAAGTGAAATAAGTTAATGCAATATATGACTAACAGTGTTATACAGTATTTGAAACATAGTTTTTTATTATTGCTCTCTTCGGGTTCCCGAGTGGAACATGGGGCTTCAACAGCACGTCTCCACTTTGTCTGATTCTCTGCAGCCATCTTAAACAGGCCTCACAGTTCCCCCGTAGTCTCTTATCTCTTCCTCTCATGATTTCCTCCATGTCAATCTCGGTTACAGGCCTAAATCGTTGTTTTCCGTTCGGTTTCTACTCGAGCAATGGTCTGGTGCTCGATGTCATTCGATGCTCTCCTCAGTGTGTATCCAATCCATCTCTGTTTTCCTCGGAATATTTGTTGAGCAATAGGTTCTTGGTTGTTCTGGCCTGCAATTTTGTCTTCACCGTGGAGCCAGCGAAGATGACTGCTGTAGGTAAAAGTCTCCAGTGGCCTGTTGGAAATGTTTTTTGTGACACGCAGTGCAAGTTTTTGACCCGTATAGAAGAAGTGACCAACTACATATTTGTATTGGAAATCCGGATCTTGTTCTTTATGCTGACTGAGTACAGAAGATTTCCAAACTGGTTTCAGGTTGATCAAGGCGTATCTTGCCTTTCCGATTCTTGCTGACTGGTCTGGACATCTTCATGCGTGCTGTTCGACTGCCTGTCGTTAAAACCATGCTTCCTAGCCGGATAAGTGAAGGAAGTAACCTCTGTTAAATCTCTCTCATTTATGGTGATTGGTGCTGGTTGTTGTTGCTGTTGCTGTTGATTGGTTGTGTTCATTGCCTCGGTCTTTTCTATGTTCATCTGGAGTCCTGTCTTCTCTGCCAGCTTCTTCTGTCAGTTTGTTCGGTTTGGTCTGAAAGTCTTCGAGTTTTTGTGATATTAGATATAAATCATCCTCACGCAAAACCTAGATCTTCTAGAGTCTTCTCATCGGTGGTCCAGCGTACTCCTGTCTCCTCGCTCCAATGCACAGTCTGACGCATAATCCAGTCATCCACCACAATTAAGAATATCATCGCCGGTGATAATAAGTAGTCAACCTTGTCTTACTTCTGTATTCACATCGAACGCCTCGCTGAGTTATCCGTTGTGGACCACCTAACATGTGCCACTGTCATATAACCAGCTGTTGAATGAGGATGATAAAGACTTGGGACACTGCACGCCATAGTGTTGAAGCAGTGCACTTTTCATCATTAAGTTTTAACGGCCAAGTTAAACTTTGAGCACCACCAACTAACTACCAATGGAGTGCAACCGCACCAATGACCTTGAAACGCTCAATAAGCAAGTTAGTGAAATCCAGCAAATAATGTTATCATCATCAATAAAATATGCTCATCGAAGTGTTATGCTATTACATGGGATATCTGGCAAGTTTCAGTTTAGGTTTGGAAAAGATTAAGTTACGGTTTAAGCCAAGGACATGTTAGGGTCAGGTTAACCTAATAAAAACGACATTAGGGTTGGTTCGAGTTAGATTACAGTTAGTTTAGGGATATTTTCACTTTAGGGTTAGTTTCAGCAAAGATTAGTGTTATTGTTAGGGTTAGAAGACCTAAATAATTACATGCATAGAATGTGGTTAAATTACTCTGTTGATATAAGGATAGAACTTTTGCACTGTGGTAGAGTATAATTCCATTGAGGGTAGAATTTACTTTGATAAAGTCTCAGGGTCATATTTACTGATGACATTTCGAGCACCATTTATTGCTCAGTAAATATTATTGTATAACACTATGAGACTTTATCAAAATAAATTCTACCCATAATGGAATTATACTCTGTTGATACTCCAACCTAAAACTGAGAGCTATTTTTATCACACGTGAGGGGAAGCTATCCTCTGTAAAAAAAAAATTCTACAGTTTTTATGCATCTCTGTCATCGGCGAGTGCGTATTGCTGAAGAGCCCCAGAATAGTACGAGACAGCTGTCCAGTACTCCCAGCTTTTCCAGTGGTTCTCTAACTTATGTCAGCTCATGATGAACTCCTCCAACCAATCAAACAAAATGCCCTACAAAACCAATACTTGAAAATATACATATATGTTTTTGATTGCACACTAGTCAGTAACTAGTGTAATGTGTCTAGTCCTATCTTCGCTGCAGACTGAATTCTATCAGCACTAGTTACTCACTAGTATGCAATCAAAAATATCCAATACAGTCCTACAAGGAGGTCAATCGCGAGCCCGAATAGCCCAGTGGTGGTAACGTCTCTGACTGCAGCCTCACTGGGTGACGCGGGTTCGAATCTCAGAAGGGATATGAGTTCCTTCAAGGTTGCAGATACGCCTTGCTGATGAGTGCCAACTAGCACGAAACCTAGGTTAAGCAAGACTTCCTGTGGCCGATAGCCTCCAACCATCTAATACCAACAATACATATATGTATTCCATACCCCCAAAAGTGCCTCTTACACGTTATTGGTGCGTTCGAGGTGATTCGCTGATTGGTAGTTAGCGGTGGTGCCTAAAATTGTAACTTTGCTGTTTTTTAACTTCTGTAAAAACCTATTTTATCTCTCTCTCTCTCTCTTTCTTCAAAACATAACGAAAATCGATTCTCATGAAACACTGCTGTTATTGTTGTTTATGATGCCGACATATCTATCCTTTAATCATGACTGTCATGTGACGACAGAATGTTGGGTGGTGGGTGATCTTGTGTGCGGTTCATATCTCATCATGATCATATGCCGTTCATTGCGATGGCGGTGTATATGTGACAATAACTCCTTCTTTATTATTTATTATTTCATTTTACTTTCATTATTATTATTATTATCAACACGTGAATATTTCAAATATAAATGCGTATACAAATACGCTATATCATCATATATATAAATATGAGATAACAAGCTACCTCATACCCCTTACTTACTAGCCGTATGAATACGTGATTATGATGATTATAAATGATATAAAACTCGTTTTATTGATCAGATCATATATCATTTGCAAAAAATTCATTTTTTGCCTTAATTGATTAAGAATATATTAGATTTATGCAAATTGGTCGTCAAAATGCAACAAAAACATCTACACATACACACACAACAAAACTGACTACCCAACTAAGTAGCAACTAGCTAGTTAGCGATCACAAAATTGTGGTATCAGTAGTAGTAGGCGTTGTTTCAGATGACTTTATCGACCAGTGTGAATTAAGTCTAACTGTACTGTATATACTATAAACTGAAGCATAAATATCATCGGTTTCTGTGTGTGCGTGCTTGTGCCACCTTACGAATCGATTAATATCATTCGCCGCCGGGGTTGGAGTCCAGGGTCGGCGGACTACTAAACCTCGTCTAGCCGGGTAGTAGTTGTAGTAAGGTAGGAAACGACAGAGAGGAGGGGGGGGGGGAAAGATGAAGCGTCAAGCTGGCAACACCATCGTGACTGAAACTCGAAAGTGTTGAAGTCCAATGCCTCCACTCAATGACTATTTTTCTTGTGTAATCTATTTTAATTTAGCTAATTGTCGGGAGGTACTACTTCTTTGTTTATCACTTTTATTATTGATCGTCAGTGTGTTATATGAAAATTCTGTGTGTGTGTGTGTTTGGTTCTCATAATCCTATCGATATTCAAGTTACTTAGTAGAGTATGTCAAAAAAAAATATATACCGGGATCCAGTCAAGTCATGTCTTTTCTGCCCTAGTACTTAAAGCTATCCCAACACCAGCTAATCCTCGTGAGCTAGCCGTCGCATCTCCTGACACCCTCAAGGTGAATTTTGCAGATTCATCCTGTTGGCCAGGTGGGGTTAGGTGAATAACCACACTAGGGTCTTGTATGCGTGTTTCTGAAACACAACATACATCAATGGCTCGGGATGCCAGAGTCTTGGCTAGTGATGCTTGTTGTCCTATTTGGCAAAGTGTCCTAACATTAAATGGCCCTATATGAAATTGGTGGTGTGGTTTTAGGAGACTATCGATGGTGGCTTTTTGGCTTCCATCGTTATCAGTGCACACAGAGTGAAGAGGAAGTGAAGAGCCATTAAGTAGAGGAGTTGCACCGGTAGAAGGAAGGCAAAATAGTAGAGATGAAGATGAAGACAAAGATGAGTGAGGATTAGAGAGGTTTCGCGTGCATTTCGGATTGTGAGGGCGATCGTTATTTCCTGGCTGCCCACACCGTGGAAGTTGGTTGCGTGACCGCAGAGCCCAGAGGACAACTGCTTGTGGCTGGTCACACACGGCGTGTTTTTGTTTGTTCTTTTTTTGTTTTGGTGTGTCTCAGTAGCATATTTATCACTTCTGCCCTGTAACACGGCAGCAGGAAGCGCGGTCGTTGTTAATCTGGGCCCCGACCGATCCGGCATGATATTTTGTGATTTTGTTTGAATCATAGCATTGGATTGGATTGGGTAACTGCTTTTTGTCTAACCGCTATCCAAACAACCTTTCTGGCATGGTAGGATCTCAAGCGACCTAAGTCTCAGTCAGTATAGCTCGTTGGGCCACTGCGGTGTTCAAGCGCGACCACCACGTCAAGGTATCAGCTTTCGGTCGGGTATATCGTAAGGGATATCTAGAATGAACCGTAGACTAATTTATTTGTTTCTTTCAGAAATGCATTGTGTTTTTGTTGTTGTTGTATTTATCTCTGCTGCATTGGTTTTTGAAGGGAAAAGAAGCGAGAAGAAATAAATCTTTTGTTTGTTTGTGTGTGTGTGTAGATAGTTTATGTACACATGATTGATTTTACCTTGTTTTTGGGCGCAGTACTTATTATTTATGTGTGGATACATAGCTGTCGTATGGGCTCCCTAGTGTGTGTGTGTGTGTGTAAGGGCGTACACAGTTTCCAGACAAACATACACGCACACACACACATACACTCACAGAGAAATCTGGTGGTTTTTATCTGTGGAATAAGTGCATCCAGAGTGTCTTTTCTTCTTGTTATAATATTATCTGTATTATTTGAAGACCGTAACAAATAAATATTGCACTTGTGTGTGTGTGTACGTTAAAGTGCGTGTTTGTATGTGTGTGCGTGCGTGCGTGTGTTGCTGTATGTGTGTGTGTTTGGCGTTGCCTAAAATCAATATTATATAGATATACACAGATGATTTTTTCTATCGTTTCTTCTCTTTTCATTGTTATTTTATTTGCGTTTTTATTTTTTACGGTTTTTGTTCAGTGACTGAGTTTTATTGCAATGGTTGATTACATATTTTAAATGATATGCAAGAGGGAGAAAGGTGGTTGAAACGTTTTTCTGGAAGGGGGGGTGGGGTGAACATTCAGTCCTATTTGGGTTCTCCACATTATCTGAAAGTTTTGGGGTTTAATTCCTGTCGGGAAGGAGGGAGTGGAGGCACGTGGATGCGTGCTGCTAGAAAACGGGATGAAAAACGTTTATCGGGTACCCTCTCTCCTGGTTTTATGTATCTCTATGGTACAGTGGTGAGAGGTTTGGGATCGATTTCTTGCTGACTCACTCCTTAACCTTGCTAAGTTTACTAATGGTTGGATGTAGGTCTGGAGAAAAGAGAGGGGATTTGGTTGTGAGGCTAGTACCTCCCCCCATAACTCTATGAAACAACACCATCGTATTTCAGTAAAGTGAAAATTACCATAATTTATGCAGAACAAAAATAGTCAGAGCGAAGAATTGTAGTTTCAATAAATTCTTCTTTAGGCTCTACAATTATAAATCCATTAATTTAGGCATAGAATAGGCAGCCAGTAAAAGCAAATTAGAATCATATCAGAAAAGTATTGTGGAACAATATATTATTATTGTTTCCTTCAGTTCCTAGAGGAACATAGGGATTCAGCCGCATATGTCCATCGAGTTCGGTTCTCCGCCAACGTTTTCACCTGGCTCCACGTCTGCTCAAACGCTTTCATCTCCTCTTCACATCACCTCATCCATGTCATCCTAGCACTGACGACCAACTCGCCGCTTCCCATTCGGGTTCCACTCGAGCGATGGCTTGTCTAGTGATGTCACTTGATGGTTTCCTCAGAATATGGCCAGCCAATCCACCTCCATTTCTTTTTGCATATTTGTTGTACAATTGGTTCCTGCTGGGGTGATTCGTTCATTGCCAGAGATGGCTAAGTTAGGTATGCATAACACATGTCCTAACCATCTCAATCTATGCAGCTGCTTCACAACCTCGTCGATTGATTTCCCTTCCTTACCCTTTACGCTCAACCTCAATATTGCTCACCTTATGATAACAACTAACACACACTGGAGATGGAATGCAGATATCTACTATCTAATTACAACAATTCACAGTGCACTGTGGTAGCGAGTCACTTAGTGACATGGTGGTCACATTGAAAATTTGACTGATAGAATTCAGTCTGTAATAAACAAAAGACTAAATACGTGATACTAGTTACTGATTAGTGTTCTCTTATTATAAAGCTATGTACATTAGAGTAAAGCCCGAAGAAGATCTAATTGAAAACACTATTGTTCTCTTATACTGTCTTGTTTTTATTTCTAAAATTTTTTTTGTTGATGTTGAAAAATTAGGTCCATTGTAGGTTTGTTGACTGATAAAACGTCTTCTCCCGCACTGAGTTCAGGATTTAACAAGTGAATCTCCATTGGCTCCCGGGGTTTGAAGAAGTTTGATTAGTATTTGATCCTTTACGAGGATTTTCGCCTACTGTGTAGACGAATCTGAATTTGGTTTGCCAGTTCAGCGGTGACAGGTTTTCAGTAAGATGGATCAAGACCTCATCATTACTGCTACATTCTGGAACACCTGATCAATTCTGTACACCGAGCTGACTGACTAACCAACTTCAGAGTTATCTACAGAGTACATGGATTTTCTTCCTAAAGGCGTGTATGAATCAGTCTTCTTCAAACCGCCGAAACTATGGCAATTCACCTGTTAAATTCCTAACTCTGTCTATACCAGAAGTTTTTTTTCAGTCACTGAATTTCTCTACAATGTGGACTTAATTCGTCTCAACACACTTTGATATATGTAAATTTTGTTAACTCTAATTTCATTATTATTCCATCCTCTCCTCCCTTACCGCTTTTCATTTCTTCTAGAAACCCGTAATCAAGCTCAAGAATATAAACTCAAGTATCATGAATCATCTCAGAGGATTTCAGCTCTGGAAAGTGATGTAAGTCTATTCATTCAAGTGTTCTTTCTTTATCATCGTTAAATAACGTATTATCTTTCATGTATATGTCTGATGTTCGGTTACTCGCACACACACACATGCACATGCACACGGATAGTCACATTCTGCAAGTATCTTAGTTCTGCTTACTACTTAGCATAGTGTGTCATGTGTGTGGGCGTGCATTACGATCAATATTGTTAGGATACTGATGACAGTTGTCAAGTTTTGTTTTTTTATCTTTGTATGCATGTGGTGAGATAGTGTTATTGTTATTATAATTATTATTGTTTTGAAGTTCGATCACGAAATGACGTCACTTAGCGAGCCATTAGAAGTCATTAGGGAGTACTGCGTATCTCTTTCTCCCTAGATTTTACGAACTCTACGACAGTACGCATCTATGACTCCATTGGGATCGAACTGATGCCTATGAGGTTATGACTTGAACTGGTCGACCATTCAGCCACTGACACACGGAATGCAATGGACCATGATTTCTAGCTTATGTTAATTCGCTGAAGTCACTGGCGCGAGTTCCTTAGAGTCTTACTGATAAGTCGTGATCGGTGGGTCTACCAGGTCGGGTATGAAGACACTAGTTGGCGATAGTACCAGAAGTCGTGAACTGACAGAAGTTAGAATTGATGCACCACGAGATTCTGTCCCAGTGGCCGAGTGGTCAATGAACTCGTCTTGTAATCTGGAGGTTCTGGGTTCGATTCCCGTTGGCGCCATTGATGCGTACTGGTTAGTAGTTCCCAATAGGGATGAAACAACTGTCGAGTACTTCGTGGTACCCAGTGGTTCTCTAACTAATGTCAGTCCGTTATGAAACATAAAATCAATCGAATTCCTCTACAAGCTCCTAACGCATGAAAAGTATTAGATAGTTGGAGGCAGTCGGAAGGAAGCCTTGAACCTATGTTTCGTGCTAGTTGGCACTCATCAGCAAGGCGTATCTGCATCCTTGAAGGAACTCATGTCCCTCCTTCTGGGATTCGAACCCGCGTCACCAGCCAGTTCTGCAGTGAGTCAGAGACATTACCACTGAGCTATTCGGGCTCACTGGCGATTGACCTCCTGTAGGACTAGACACGTCACACTAGTTACTAGTGTCCAGTCAGAGTAACTCTTCGCCGGAACGCCTCTTCCTACATCTACCCATCAAGTCTGAATTTGATAAGTGCATATAACACACATTGTCAAATGCATTAAAATCTAACTTTTAACCTCCATGTTGGAAGTTGTTCACTCTATAGAGTTTTTTTTTTACTGTTTCTCTGTAAACAGTTATTCATTTTTGTTTATTTCTCTGAAGGTTTCTACTTTTTTCTCTCTGTTATTGATTAATTGTGTGTGTGTCTGTGCGTGTTTAAATTGTAGGCTGATTGTCTATCTTTATTTTGTGTGTGTTTGTGTGTCACTATGGCAACTGAGGCAAGCCCACGTGCTGCTATGCACACACACATACACACACAATCAATCAATCGTATATACTATTTCATCTCACTTTTGTTTTATAAACATTACTCTGAGATAATAATAGCAGTAGGTATAGATTTGAGAAACGCTGGCGACAACATGCGGACGTATGTATGCATGTTTGTAGATGTTTTGCCTTTGTGATGCAAAAAACTATTTGCATATTGTTTGTGTGTGTTTGTGTGCCCGTGTGCTATTACACTGCTCATGTTGTTCTTCTATTGCAAGCTACTTCTGTGTGTTTGTGTGTGTGTGCGTGGCGTTGTGGGTCATTACAAGTTTAAACATTAAACTAACTGTTTATCGATTGGTCACAGATTCGAATACCTCTCTCTTAACATATAGTAGTAGTCACTAGTAGTGTGGCGTGTGCTACTGATAAGATTTATCAGTAGTATATAGATGCAGATAGATTGAAATCAATACTTTAAGTTAGTCACTGTAGTGATAGAACTGTTAGCCCCTGAAATGTGGATTTGGTTTACGTTGTGGTCAGGACATAACTTCATTGGGTAACTTTTCATTTCAAGGTTTAACCTTCAGATAATCAACAGCCAATCATAACAGCTGATTATCCGCTGACCTTAAAGGTGACTAAGAATGTTATAAATATGATGTGTTTTTACTTAATAAAATACTTCCGATACCAGGTCTCTTTTTTTTCCCTTTGCAGTAGTACTGTCATCTGTAGCGCACAATAAGCGCAGGGCTCCTTGCACCGATTGTGATGACATTTTATTGTATTCAGCCTTTTGTCTATGAATCCCCTAACTTCCTAATTTGAAGTACCATTTAGTGTGTGTGTGGATGTGTCTATCAACATGTGTGATCTCTAGCTAGCTAGCTAGGTTGAATAAATTTTGATAGTAAAGGTTGCCGAGAGGTTTAACAGTCAGTCATGTTATGCATGTTATCAGGTCACTGGGTTTTCTTTGGTGGAAGGGGGCGGTTAATGGATATACTGACGTAAGTTGCATCAGCTCCAACGGGTTGATTGCTGATGAAATCTCAGCACGAATACAGAAGGTTCGTTTCGCATATGCCAGTTTACGCCATCTCTGACTTAGTAGACATGATGTCCGGCTATCGACCAAAGGACGTGTGTACTGCTCAGCAGTCCGCTCCGTCCTCCTTCATGGCTGGCTGTGAGACCTGGTCATTGAGAGTGGAATACATGAAAGGCCTGGCTAGCTGGCTGTCTTTGGTCATAGGTGCCTACGTTCTATCTCCCGTGTAAAGTGGTACAATAGAGTGAGTAATATTGAGGCTAAGGGTCGTGTGTTAGATAAGGAGGGGAAATCAGTCGACACGGTTGTGAAGTTACATCGATTGAGACGGTTGGGATATGTATTACATATGCCTAGACATCTGCTTTCTCGACAGTGAGCAGTGTTAGCTGGCATAGGGTTGGTTGAGTTGGAGAACAGCTGCTAATGCTGGTCAAACCAAAACTTAGAATCAGACTATGAAATCATTGACAGTTAATTTGGTCCAGCCACATAGGGAAGTTGGAGTCCCGCGAGATGGTACAAACTAATGACGGCTGAAGAAACTTATTAATATTGCTCGAAATCCTTTGCAATGATTGATAAAATGATACATTCACTCTTTATGATCTCTCTCATATTCATTCAACTCTATTCCTTTTCTATATAGTGCTATTCTTTCTCCCTCGAATTTTTGCTTATTCTTGTTCTTTCAAATCCCTCATTTTCCCTCATCTTTTGTGTTCCTTCTTTTGGTACATGGAGACTGTCAACTCGGACTGCTACACTTGTGTGCAAAGTTCTGTGATGAAATCAGTCAGTTAGTCAGTCAAACAGTCATTATTATTATTATTATTATTATTATTATTATTATTATTCTAAGGGAATAATTTAAAGACGGTTGCAACGAAGAAAATTTTCTTTTCCACGAAGTCACCGTCAACTAGGCTGTACATTCGTGTATTTTTTTAATAAATGGGTGGTAAAGTTCCAGAATTATTCCCGGTCAAGGGTCAAATTAGTAAAATTACAATTAGGAATTAAAATGCCATGATAAACAGGGGGACGGATAAAGCTCAGACAAAGTAGCATCATAACTACTGAAAAGATTGACATATTGTGCAATTAGGGGTTATAAATGTAGAAATAACAACAATAGACGGGATGTTTGGATAAAACATCTAGTGGGATCATAACTAATGTGACGAATAATTGTTTGTGCAGTCAGGGATTAAGTAAGTAGAAATAATACAATAACAAAATAGACAGGAAGTTCGAATATGAAAATATGTTAGTGTAAATAGGGATTAGGAAAACTTAAAAATAACATGAATAAACAGGAAGTTTGGATAAGGAAGTCAATGGGATAGTCACTATTAAAAGAATTACCTGTTTATGGTGGCCATGGCAGGGACAAGGAAGGGTTGGATGTACTTCTTTTGGATACACAGCGTGGGTTTGAGCTTTTGGAAGGCTAGTGCCTCAGCTATACCCACATGTCTTAAGGGAGTAAAATCAAGACATCTAGGCATAGCCGAGACACTAGCCATCCAAAGACTCAAACCCACGCTATGTATGCAAAAGAAATACGTCTAACCCTTGTGCATGCCATGGCCATCATAAACAGGTAATTTTTCTAATAGTGACTATCTCATCGTCTTTCTTGTCCGAACTTCCTGTTTATTCATGTTATTTTTATGTTTTTCTTAATCCCTATTTACACTTCCATATTTTCATAACCAACCATCCTGTCTATTTGGTTATTTCTACATTTATAACCCCTAATTGCACAATATGTCAATCTTCTCAGTAATTATGATGCTACTTTGTCTGAGCTTTATCCGCCCCCCTGTTTATCATGGCATTTTAGTTCCTAATTGTAACTTTATTAATTTGACCACCATTGACCGGGAATTATTCAGGGACTTTCCCAACCTATTTATTGTAAAAATACACGAATGTACAGTCTAGTTGACGGTGACTTCGTCGAAAAGAAAATCATCTTCGCTGCAACTGTCTTTTTATTATTGTTATTCAGTTGACACGATCACCTTAAGTGTTTTTGATCTTGTTATTTTCACTCTGAAGCAATAAAATTGAAAAATGAATTCATTGTGTTGTGCACTTCCTTTCATTTTATTTTGTTTATCTTGAATTCCTATTTATATATACATTTTAAAACCAACCTTTAAACTATTTATGGTCATTTCCTGGGAATTTATATTATCTATCCAATCCTCCTATATTTGCTGTGTATTGTGGTTGGAATGTATTTGTTTGTTTGTATGTTTGTGTTCTTGTGCGTGTTCGTATTGATCGATTGTGCGCGATGCAGCACATTTGTTCATTCTAATGGTGGTGCATGTTGTTGAACTGGATTATATATAGTCGTAATATCAGAAACTGGTTTGAATTAATGATTATTTAGCAGGAGACATTTGAAAAACTTACGTGCTGTTTGCTTACTGACTAGCTACCTAGGTAGCTAGCTATCCATTTCAGCAATGAGATGTTCCATTCAAGAATGGATACTATGAGGTATTATGTAATTACATATTAAGACTATGGGATATCTGAGGTCCGGGGTTCGATCCCCGGCCGACGCACTCCTTTACCTCGCTAAGTCGGTAATAAAAAGCTGGTAAAGAGGAAAGGTTGGGCATGAGGCTAGCAACCCCATCCTGTAAAAATAAACACTGCTACAGAAACTTCAAGCCTCTAGCTTGAAGCCTTATGTTCCACTGGGAACGTGAAGTAGTAAAAAAAAATCTGAGGATTTGGGATTAATTACAGTTGTTTTAGATTTCCATCACGAATCAACATTAATTACAGAGATCATTGAGAAAGTCAACAGGGTTGGTGGTGGTGGTACTGGGCAGTTGTCTCGTCCTATTCTGGAGTTCTTCATCAGTACGCATCCACAATCCCCCATCACTAGGAGTCTAAACTGAAACCAACTTCGTTAACGATTAAACCAATGGGATTGGAATTCAATGATTCCTACATTCTAACTATGCCAGCCCTTGATATAACTCTGTCCTCAAGAAATGCCCTCAATGAACATCCACTCCAGCTTGATATGTTACACCCCACTGGTCACTACCTTCCCTCTATGGAGGTTCAGGAAGTCCATCCAAAGGTCACTGATGAGTTGGCAGTTGATATTCAGATTATAAGATTTGGCGACTTGTTGGTTTGTGACGATTTCATTCTCAGAAGCTGTTTAGTCCCATTTTTTGTATATAAGTTCATATAGTTTACAATCAATTATTCAACTCCAATTTATAAAGAAGGGGAGAGAGATTAAAGAAGTTAATAATTTCCAACTTTATGTGAAAGTTTCATAATGTGAATACATAAACCACAAGGAGCATAGAAAAAAGTTATATGTTTATATGCATAGAATATTCTAGAATAGTCGTCATAAACAATATTGGTGTTTTTTAAATAATATCGATTTGTTAAGTGAGATCACAATGGAATTACAGTTCAAGAATGATGCATAAAAATGTAATAGCAGACAGAATATCAACTAAAATCTAGGGAATTTCCACAACAAATCGAGCAATATTCGAACCTTGACGGCCAGTGGGGTAAGGACAGTGTCTGAACCAATTAGCTTCTTTTGGATACATAAGTTAGGTTTCTTAATGTACATCCCAACAGCCAGCCTCGGCAATATGTAGTGGACGAACTATTAGGGTGAAATTAAGATTAGTTGGTATGCTGTAGATGACTTTGAAAGCCGCCTAGTTGACATCAATCTTGTGTTGTGTATCCACAAGATGAGATAGAATAGCTCTATGAATGGATTTTGTTTGTCCTTTACTTAACAACCACTATTCAGAGTGATGTTCGGAAATCTGACGAGAAACACGCCTAATTGTACGGCCTATGTAATATGTAAAACAGTTGCTAATGGAGATTGGTGTGAATTGGGTTGAGCAAAATCGAACTAGATCCATGGTAAATGTAAGAGTTGAACTAGTAGTTTCTTTTGAACACATAGCTCTGTGATTTTCCAGCATACAGGGTGAGCTATGAGTTTCTGCAGTACAAAGAAATCGGAAACACACTACCTTTGGTAGATATCTGTCTACTTTGTAATTCACTCTGAATGTGAGGGAAGTTAAAACAACAGTTTAATGTCTTTATTCTCTCTTTCATTTGATTACGTAATCTTTGGCGCAACAGTGAGGAATGGACTTTGAAACAACCAATCAGAGGGCTCAGCATTAAAAATGAGTGCTTTTCATAATTTTCGTTGTAAGTTTCATCCTGATTCAGGATTAAGGTTGGAGTAGGTTTAAACTGGGGTTATGGTGAAAGTTGGTGGGAATCTTGCAACGAAAATTATGAAAAACATGCATTTGCAATTCTGAGCGATCTGATTGGTTGGTTCAAGGTCGTCTGACTTTGGTGTCTATTCTTAACTGTTTCCATTTTTGACTTTAACCTCTTGTCTTTATTGCGTAACTCCTTTACTACTGTATACGTACATTGCTTTTTGTTTAAACTTGAACTCTCTGTCAAGTGAAATTATGTGAAAATTGCAAGTATATTAAAATTATTTCTGTACATAAACTTAATAATATCTGTAGGCTGTATGTAAGCAGCTGATGAGAAGCCAATAAAATAAAAAATGATGGTACCATCATATTCTGTACAAACCACTGTTATTCTTGCTTTATTCAAATTCATAAAAGGGGAATAAGGACATGAAGATCACTGTGAATGATTAGTTATTTGAGATGCTGTGACATGTGGCTTCTAGCTGGAGGCTTAAAGTCTCGGTAGCTGTGGGTTTTTATTTTTTACTTTTATGGGATGGGGTTGCTAGCCTCATGTACCCAACCTCCCTTCTTTATCAGTCTTATTACTGGCTTAGAGAGGTAAAGGAGTGCGTTGGTGGGTGGGGACCGAACCCCGAAGAAGCACATGCGTGGTTGGCGAGCAAAGCTTTCATCTTCCCCCTTCTATACAACATCCCTCTTCAGCGCAGGTTTTAGTATGAAGATGTTTGTCTAGAAGGGGGACGATGAAAGCTTAAATCAACCAGCTCGTTAGAGAACACAACTCATTAAAAAACTGTTAGAAATGTTTACATTTTCCCGTTCAAATTGGTATCCACAGTGATTTATATGCATTGATGTTTAAGAATATATATTGTTTCTTTTTTGATTGGACACTAGTCAGTAACTAGTGTAATATTTGCGTGGGTGTGTCGAGTCCTATCTTTGGTGCAGACTGAATTCTGTCAGTCAAGTTTGTAATGTGGCCACCAACCATGTCACTAGATCGCTCGCCATCACGGTGCACTGTGAACTGTTGGTATTAGATGGTTGGAGGCAATTGGCCACAGGAAGCCCAGCCTGTTGACCTAGATTTCGGGCTAGTTGGCGCTCACCAGTGCAGTCAGCAAGGCGTATCTGCAACCTTGAAGGAACTCATTTCCCTTCTTCTGAGATTCGAACGCGCGTCACCGACCAGTGCTGCAGTGAGTCAGAAACGTTACCACTGAGCTATTCAGGTTCGTAATTGACCTCCTGTAGGAGTGTATTGTAAGGGATGCCCACACTGTGACCGGTTTAAATAGTTTCAGTCGGTCGTGTCTTCCTTCACTGCTCGGTCTTTTGGAATGCATAGTACTGAATGAAGTGATTGTGTTAGTTTGTGTGCCATGTTATTACTATTATTATTATTCGAAATGGTTTTACTAGAAATTCTAAACAATGGGAACACTTAACGTGCTAGGACATTCGTAGAAGCCTGGTATTCAAACGAATCAACACAGACACAGTATTTTTGAGCACGTTTGATCAATAATCCTTTTTTTACGTATATGTGACTTGATGCATTTATGTTTATGTCTGTTTGTCTGTATATATATACACACCTATAGATTGTACGTTTAGAAGGTCAAACAAAACGATATAAGGCAATTGCAGATGCATGTGAAGAACAAGAAGAAGTATTGAAACAAGAACGACGAAAATGTCAACGTGAAGTATGTTTTGTCTTTTTTTTTCATTTATTACTGTTGTGTTTCTCACTCCTTTACTATTCTGGGGGAAATGTAATCGCAACACAGCGTCAGTTCTAGTTGTATTGATAATACTTCTCTCTGACTCTTTTAATGCTTCCTTTGGCTCGGTTCACTTTGTTATTATTGTTATTGTTATTCATCCCTTGTGCTTCGAGTGGGGCATTGTGGTGGAGCTTGGGGTAGGGTAGGCTCTCATCCGCACATCTATTTATTGCTACTCACTTCACACACTGGCTTCATGACTGCTCACACAAGCTTTTCAGTGTTTTGTCCACACTGATCTTCTTCGTGGGTCATTTTAGCACCCATATACAACTCTCGCTGATTATTATTATTGAGATTCTATTTAGCGGAATGGTGGGCGTGTGATTTCATATGGAAAGCTTACCTCGTAATATGAAGTACCAATAAGTGTTAAGGGCTAATTAAAAGATGAATCAGCGTAATTGCCTATTGAGAACCAACTGGCAATACTTGAAAATTGATCTGATGCTCACTAGTGACTGGTGATATTCAGGTGGTTACCTGGGGTTTTAGTGGGAAGCCGTGACCGGTAGGCTGCAGCAGGTTGAAGATGAGGCAGTTACTCATCGAAGAAGACATTGCAAAGTGGTCGCGGTATGTCATGAATTGGCAGAAGTTGGAATTCATGGGCGCTGGCCATTGGATCGGGTCCCAGTGGCTGCTGAATGGTCTACAAGCTCGCTAGCCTTGTAACCAGAAGGAATTGAGTTGTAGCCCTGCTGGTGGGTGCCTACTGGTGAAGAGTGTCGAACTAGACTCACGAAAAAGCTGTCCAGTACTCCCAGGTAGTATTCCAATGGTTCTCTAACTGATGTCAGTTCATGATGGAATCCTGTAACCAATCAAACATACCAGTTGGCTAAGTAGCTAGCCAGAATTCGTGTGGTTTGGAATCACTCGACTTCCTGAGTGAGCTGAGTCGAACTAGGTATATCGCTAATGAGCCCCGACCCCAAACGAGCCAAAAAGAAGGTCGTCCTGTGGTGTTTGCAGCATTTCCATCTGACTTCCATGTGATTAGTATCCAGCTACTCATTTCCATAAATCAGTAGTATATAGCGTGATGCATTTAATTTTCTTAATTTTCATTTATGTTATTAAGCTGAGGTATTAAATATTATGACCAAAATAATTTGCGTTTCTGAAGGAAACTGGTTAAATTTCACTTTGTACTCTGTGTAAAATCTCAAATCGGAATTAATTTTCAAACTGAAAACTTGAAGCTTAACTAATTCTTACTAATAATCTAATGATTGACAAATACGTCGATAATTTCAAAATTATTAAGAAGAAATTTAAGGATGTCTTGTGAGAGAGTATACCGTTAGAAAAGAATGTGTATATTTCCTTATTCTTTTTTCTAAAACAAAATTAAATGTAGGTTTCAGCGACTAGAATCAATCTTGTTTTTTTTCATTTTCATTTCCACTTTTTATAAAGTCCACTCTGTATATAACAATTAAAAACAAATAATTTTATCATTGGTTTGTTAGTAGTAGTGACTTGTTGTTTCTTTGCGTAAGAAAAGACTAACCCCTTGGGTTCCAAATGGAACACAGGGCTTCAACAATACATCTCCATTTTGTCCTATCTTCAGCCGTCGTCTTCAGTTAGCTGACCTCACAATTGCCCATAATCACTCATCTCCTACTCCTCGCCACACGGTCTCCTCCATGTCACCCTCTCACCGACGGCTCACTCGTCGCTTCCCATTGGGATTCCACTCGAGCGATGGCCTGCATTGCGATCGATGTTATTCGGCTGTCTCCTCGACGTATTCCCGATCCATCTCCATTTTCTCCTACATATTTGTTGAGCGATCGGCTCTTACCTGTTGGTTTGTTCCCAGTCAGAATTTTTGTTACTAATTCTCTCTCGCCAGCCGGCTATTTGATCTTCAGTATGAAGCCAGCCAGAGAGGCGGGCAGCTGTTGATGAAAGTCTGTAGTGGTCTGTTGGAAATCCTCTTCGTTACACTCTGGCCAAGTTTGTGACCCATATAGAAGGACTGAGTGACTTGACATTGGTGTTGAACAGAATCCGAATCTTGTTTCTTATGCTGAGTTATCGCAGAAGATTTTCAAACTGGTTTCAGGTTGATGAAGGCGTATCTCGCCTTTCCGAACATAACTGACTTTGATATGTTCATCTGTGGTGACTGTCTGTGGTTGAAGTGCTTCCTGGATAAGTCAAGGAAGCAACTTCTGTCAAATCTCTCCCGTTGATGGTGATTTGTGCTGGCTGTTGTTGTTGTTGCGATTCATTGCTTATCTTCACCACCTCCGTCTTCTCGATGTTCATCTGAGGTTCTGTTTTCGCTGCTGACCGCTTGTGCCAGTTTGTTGGTTTTCCCCTGTAAGTCCTCGAGTTTGTGTGACATTAAACATAGATTATCCATAAGCGAAATCCAGATCTTCCAAAGTCTTCGCATCCTGTCTTCTCACTCCCTATGCACAGTCTGACGCATAATCCAGTCCACCACAATTGAGAATATCATCGGTGATAATCGGCAAACAGCTTTGTCTTACCCCTTATGTACCTCGGACGCCTCACTGAGTTTTCCATTGTGCATCACCTGACACGTGCCACTGTCGTATAGCGAGCTATTGAGTGAGGTTGATAAAGACTTGTGACACTGCACGCAGTAGTGTTGAATTAGTTTCCAAATTACTTTTCGGTCAACGCTGTCTGTCGAAGGCCTTCTAGACTAGTTAACTACCTTGCTAGCTTTCCAGCCGGTCCCAAGCCCGGGTAAAGAGGGAGGGTTAGGTGTGTAGGGCTAGCAACCCTACACCGCTAAACCTTTCAAACCGCTAGAGAAACTTCAGCACACTAATCAGTTTAGCGTATATTTATCTGTGAAATATAATAAAACAGCAGTAGTGCTCTCATGCTGAAACACAGGCATAAATTACTCGTTTTCAAGCTAAAATTTTGTCCATTTTTTGTTGCTGAGATCTGTCTGTCTGTCTGTTTTCGACATAGAACTTTGCACATATGTGCGGCAGTTCAAGTCGCCACACTCCATGTAGCACACAAAGCAAGAGAAGAAAGTAGAAGAAATGCATATTAGAGACAGTAAACAGAAAAATGGGGCAAAAAGAATAGTAATAACGAAGAACAAAATAGTTTCATTGGAAATTATAAATCACAAGGAGTGGATGCATCTGCGCCAGTCACTGAGAACGATTTTGAGCCATATCACTAATTGTCTCCAGCCTTCATTGGTTTTTACCGTCCCTCCCCAACCAGGAAGCCAGTCTGCACCTTCCTACGTGGCTTAGACTAACTGTTGTAGTTTCCATTGACTGGTGCCATGTATTCGTTTGACCGCCGCTGGCTTGCTCTTTTCCACCCCGACCCTATGTCAGCTAACATTGCCCATTGTCGAGGAAGGTGATGACTAGGCATACGTAACACATATCCTAACCATCTCAGTCGATGTAATTTCACAGTCTCGTCGACTGAGATAACTGATTTCATCAGCCCACAGTTAGTAACCGTGTAGGTATGGGTTAAACAACATGTTCTGTTGAAAAAGTATCGAAAACTAGGAATAACTGGACGACTCTTTCGTCCTTGTTTGAGACTGTTCGTCATTACCCACCCATCACCACTTCATAAGGGAATTAGACCCACGACTTTCGAGTTACACAACTGGCTTTTTGACCATTCAGCTACTGGGATTGAATGTAATTGCCTATGAATTACAGTCGGTGTCAATTCACAATATAGGACAGCCACCTAGAATGGTGGCCACAGTGCAAAACCTGACTGATAGAATTCAGTCTGCACCAATGAAAGGACTAGACACGCCACACTAGTCCTATCAAAATACCCACTACAGACCTACAGGAGGTCAATCGCGAGGCCGAATAGCTCAGTGGTAACGTCTCTGAGTCACTGCAGCACCAGCTGGTGACGCGGGTTCGAATCTCAGAAGGAGGGACATGAGTTCCTTCAAGGTTGCAGATACGCCTTGCTGACTGCACTGGTGAGTGCCAACTTAGCACGAAATATAGGTCAGGCGAGGCTTCCTGTGGCCGATTGCCTCCAACTATCTAACATACTATTTTTGTTAGCGGCAACACCATGATTGTGATGCAATCAATTAGATATTGATTATTTATGTATGCTTTAAATATCTGTTGATGTGTAAAGGATAATTTATTCTGTATTGTGAGGAATAAATTGGTTGTTGTTGTGGTTGTCGCAGTTAAATCTGACTTGTGTGTGTGTCTACTCAGTGTAGGGAATAGTTTCCAAGTGATCAGTTGTTTGGAGGTGCATTCATTGTATTTCGACAACAACTATCAAAGTTACTAACACTCTATCACAACATATTTGCCGAAAGGGATATTTCGACTGGCTATTCGGTTCAGTTCCATCATAACAGTAACGTGATCGCCAACCTGTGTCATCGGTGGGTTTTTCTCCTCACAGCCTCTTAGATGGACCCTACTGGTCACTCATTTGAAGTGAATTGGCTGAAGTTATAATTAGTGGTCCTCTGGATTCCTTCCCACTGGTTAAATGGTATATGAGCTCGCGTTGAACCTGAAGGTGAAGGTCTTGGGTTCTATCCCTGATATGATGCTGCGTGTATACTGACGAAGAGTCCTAAACTAAGACGAAACAACTGTCCAGTTACTCCCTTGTTTTCAATGGTTATCTAAGTAAGGTGGGTTTATAGTGAAACTTGAGATCATTCAAACCCCTGGGAACTAACACTTGAATACTTGGTCTGTGTTCATCTAGTGTTAATCGGATTATTATCTGTTGTTCATATATTTGACTGTGAGTCATGGGTGCACTCAAATGAGATGAAGATGTATAAACCCGGAAAAAATATGTATATTATAAAACTCACTGTCAATAAATCTGCTGTGAGTTAATAGTAACAAAAATGTAACAGCACAAGAGAATAATGTTGAAAC